TGTCTCGCATTCACACAGATGACTGAAATAACTTTCTTCCTTAAGGACGAACACTAGAGAAGGCCAACCAAACATCATCCCTCCGAAAATAAGAGTCTCAAGTACACCCCAGGCTGAGAAGAAAATGACACCGCCTCGAATCCGTGCCATGATTACTACAACGAACCATTTATATGTATGATCATTGGAGCCATTACTTTTGTTTTAATTATTAAAATTGCCTATCAAATATTTCAAATTACTTCATTTACAACCTGATCTTTTATTAAACCTGCTGGAATGATTACTCATATACTTGTAGAGTAGATAAGTAGAGGGTGTCCCGAAAGTATGACCCCCCAGACATACACCAATGTTTCCATAGTATGTATCATATATCATTTTAAAGCTCATCCAAAGATACATTGATTTGCCAAGTATCATGGTTCAACTCACAAACGGGAAAAAGTTACACACATTTCAAATGTAGTGTTTTACCAAAATTAAAGTTTAGTTTTACACAAAATTAATAGTCGCCGTGTCTCCCTTGGTCATGTTAACAGCAGCAATTCTTCCCAGATATGACCTTAAATACACTGCAAATAGGGGCATAGCATTTAATAATCCTCATAAAACCTTTTTAAGGCATTTTGAAAAGGTTTCCTTGGATTATCTGCCCTTACCGACATCTCTTTACAACTCAATATCCATCGGTGTTTCACGCTCATCACGCTCATCTCTGACTTGTCTTCAAGTTTTCGCTGTTTAGAGTTTCTTGGAAGGTGCTGTTTCAGGTTAATTAATTATGTAGGGTTATGTAATGTTATGTGATGTTGTGTCATGTAATGTTATGTAATACTATGTAATGATATGTTTTAATGATGCAATACATTTCTACAACTCCAAATACTTAGGTCAGTCAAAAAGTTCTGTTTATTTATCTCTAACTTTGTCATTTTGAGGAATTGTTTCTTGATATTTGGTACATATATAGAACATACATTTGTGCTAATATTGACTTATTATTGTATCTCAACTATCATTGGTTACTGAATAATGGTTGCTATGGTAACAGAAGGGCGATGTACTCGGTTCAGCCCAATTTTATTGATTGTCATACACTGTTATATTACATGAAATATACTTTAAACTGTCTTAATATTTAAAAACTCCTTCCTAACTAAGTCCCCGATGTCATATCTAAGTTTAATTTAGTTATTTAGCCTTCAAAATAGTCGCCCCCTGCAGCAATGACCTTTCGGTGCCTTTCTACCCAGTCTCTGAAGACACCTTTAAAACCGCTAGCCGACAATTCATTTAAACTTTTGTGCACCGCTGCCTGCAGAGCCTCATCGGAATCAAACCATATCCCCCGAAGACCTATCTTTAGATTGCTGAAGAGGCAAAAGCCCGGTAAAAGTCACATGGAGATGAGTCTGGGGAGTATGGTGCTTATGGAATCCTGCTCCATTGGAGGTCTTCTAAGGCAGTCTTGGCAACATTACTTGTATGGGGACGAGCATTGTCCATATTCATCAAGAAACTGCCTCGAGACATCAATTCTTTCTTGCTTCTGTTCTTGAGTGAGGAATCTTGGAACCCATTTTGAGGCTACGTAACACTTTTTCAATACTTTAGTGATGATTGTATGACAAGAGCCATGGGAAATATTCAGAATGGAACTAATTTCATCCAATGAAATGTGCCTATCTTGCTCAATCAACTCTTGTATTTTCTCTTGTATTCCTCTTACCAAAATTGGTAAGAGGAATAAAAAACGATGGCACATTCTCGAGCCTAATATGTATTACGTGCAGTTTAACACATAAATCCTCTATATCATTGTTATATATCATAAATATAACCTCAAATATGACATAGACCACGTAGCTCCTGTTACGCGGAATATGGCATACAATCATGGTTGCGCGGTATTTGTGATACGGGTGAATATGCCATACTCACCTGCGGTATATGGCATATTCCGCAGGTGAGTATGCGATATTCTGCAGTGAATATGCGATACATTGATTTCAGTGAATACCAGATACTCACCTGCAGAATATGTCATACTCACTTGCGGAATATGCCATATACAGCAGGTGAATATGACATATTCCACAGGTGAAAACGTGATAACGAAAGACTTTGTTTGATTGGTTGCGAAAATCGACTCTAAATGTAAAACTACGCTGGATGACCAATATTGTTAGTACGTCGAGTATTAATATATGAATCCCGGATTGATTGGGTAAGTTTATTACGTGAGATAATACGTCTGCAGAGAATTTTCTCAGGAATCCCGATCTGCAAACCAAATTTCAATTTAAACCACCTGTCTTTTTTCATTTCGATTCCTTGGATTTATTGCCATTAGAACTCGCATGCATTACTGGCAAAACTCTGTTCCAAGACAAATGTGAAATTGTATCATCTGAAATTTTAGACCATTTACAACTTCAACTCAATATTAACAATTGCTTAATGACCCTAATGGATGATTGGCGATCTTAATGCTTAAAACACCATCCTAAGTCAAATACAAGGAATGAAAAATGTTTGAAACTATGAATTAAACAAGAATTTACTTACCTTGTCAATTTACCAAGGAAAACTGGGCGAAACTCGGATTCTGAGGACCTGCTATACCATTTACAACGGATCAACTTTTTGGATTTACACTTATATTTCAGAGGAATAAACCTTTACTATGTGTTATCTTCGATTTATATTAAAAACAAGTGTTAGCAGCTACAATGCCAGTTCTATTTCATATTTCTTAACGTCATTGTAATTGTTCATTGAAGTTAATCAATGTAAGTTTAGTGAATACATATTTTTACAAAAATGTAAGACCAAAACACCATTTTGTGATTTATTCACATCTACTCATTCAATACAGAAGTTCTGAACATTAACCTTAACGCAATAAAATACAGGAAGTCGTGACCATTTAAAAAGAGAATGAACCGTTTAGTCCCTTTTTGTAAACCCAAAAACGTAAAAACAGCAGTGCATTTCATGTATTTCAACCGTCAATGTTTTATTATCATATTAGATTTACAATATTTATACAAAGTATATGAATATTTCATCAAACCAGATAAAGGTAAAATCATTTTATCAATACATATTCATGTTAATGTCTAGTAAAATTGTGTTTCTTCTTATCGTATAGAATTTTCTATGTAGCTTCAAACTAGACTTACAAATAAACTATTCTCAGATAGAAATTTCTATACAAAATATTCCATTGTCTTTCCGTATAGAAATTTCTATGCAGATGACTCTGGAAATATCAATTTTTGTCATTTTAATTGGTTATCGGTATAGAAATTTCTATGTGAAGGCCATCAGAAATAATAATAATTATGTTACTGGTAAAACATTTCTCCTCGTATAGAAATTTCTATATTGATAGAGTCAAAAATAAAAACTGAAACGCTTCATAGAAATTTATATGGGTGCATATTTAAATTATGTTTGCTGGTATAGAAATTTCTATAAGGATAGAGTAGAAAAATAAAAATCGAAACTCTGTATAGAAATTTCTATGTGGCCCAGAAAAATTATTTTCCTAGATTGAAAAATTAGAAATTTCTATATGGTCAAAAATATAAATTGAATGCCTATATAGAGATTTCTATGCGGGTGTAGTCGAAAACCTTTAGTGCTCAAAAATTAAGTTTGTCCGTATAGAAATTGCTATTTGGATAAATTCAAAAAATTAAAATCGAATAATTATATAAAGAATGTTTGTAATTAGTCTTAAATTTTCGGCCTATTGTAATAGTATTTGAAATAGTATTTGAAAATATTTGGAGGTATAGCCAATGCAGTCAAATTACATCACAGCCAGAAAAATTATTGATTTACATGGTTTTTTGTCGCTGAAAGTTATGAAAATTAAAAATAAAACATTGAGTGGCTCTGGCACATGGGGAAAAGGTTTAAGGATTTAAGCCCTTGACTGAGTGCAATGTGGAATGATCATTCTTTGAAGATGTTGGTAATAACAAAATGCATTGAGTCTCGGGCTTAAATTCTTTTCACACATTGCAAAATATTTTTACCATGTCACCTAAAAGATACGAAATCACTAAAATGACATATTTTAAATAACTTTTTGCAAGGGTCAAGATGGCAAACCACCAATTTTTATCTGTTGAGTGTCACCTTTGCAACCACCTAAGGAATGACCTTGGAATCGTTATTGGTTATTTCACGCACAATGCGTTATGTGAAATACTGTGTTCGGATTGGCTGAAATCGGACACACCTTGTCTAGCTATGTGTGAATTCCAAACTAATGGAGGGTAGTGTAGGCATAGTGTAATTTGACAAACTTAGTCTAGCCAATCAAAACACAGTATTTCATATAACTGCATTACATTCTATAACCAACAACTCTCCACTATATAACCCACCCAAGGTCGTGTCAGATTCAATTAAAATCTGCTTAAAGATTAGTATTATATATTATATTGTACGGACATCGACAACAATTAGTTGATTTTTAGACATCGTATGGGCGCTGCGAGAACTTTACCTCGCACATAAAAAGTGCAGATGCCTAACCGATTTTTTCTCAATTAAACTCATCGGACCTTACCCTGTCGGCGCGCGTACGGTCACCGTAGGATTATCGTACCGTACGGCTATCGGTGATATCGTATGATCATCCTGACATTTCGTACAACAATGCAAACGTAATGATAAAATCAACTTGATTCTAATTACATTTCAAAAGTTTGACAGAGACCCCCCACGCGGACATGGATGGGGAATTTGACAAAGTGATATTGGCCTGTCTTGTTCCATACCCCGGGGCCACCATGGGAGCAAAATATCTGGTCAAGTATTCCCGATCCCGGGCCCTTCCCCCGAATCCATTCTATTTAAACATCAGAGTTACTTGTCAAGAGACTATACTCATTAATGTTGAGAGATAATATGGGTCACATTTGCTTCGATTTCCATTACTATACGATGAGTATGTTGATCTTATGGGACAACTCTCGTATACTGTACAAAATTCCTATCCCTCTGGGCAATATTGTGTATCAAATTAATTTACAAACATTTCAAGTTGTTATCGTACCGCAATAAAACAATCAAGATCCTTTTTAATTTACATATTGTGGTTAAAAGCAAATATGGCCTTACTTCCCGTACTCAATCTACACCTGATTCTAATTTAAATGTTGCGAGATGACTTGCATGGCCTACACGCTCTATTTTAGTTTTACTATTGCCATTAGAGATGTCATGATCTTACTTTTAGATTTTAGTTTACTAGTTTACTTTTTGAGCTTTTGTATGATCCATTTTCTCGTCCTTCGAACGTCGTCCAAAATAGTTCTCTGTATATCATTTTAAGATGTTAGAGCAAACATTTCAGGACTTATGGGACAACCCTCGTATTCTGTACATGTAGATATAAACGTTCCACAATCGCCCATCATGATGATAAACCATGGCATCTCATTTCTTCTCAGCCCTGAGAAAGGTGAAACCGAAAGATGCTATGAGTATCAGAATGCAATCGCCATATGATCTGAACAATTCCAGGTACCGTAGTCTGTTATAAGTGTTAGAAGGAAGTTTTCATTTTCCTCTGTTGTGTCATATTCCTCGCCTAATAATCAAACAATATTTGTCTTCTTGATATGTAATCGAGAGTACCATGTGTGTACCCTCTGGCGTGGTATTTAGATATTCCAAGATGAGCGTTTGTGTTTTCATCGAAGATATCTTTTGACTGAAACATTAATGAATGGAAGCTATAAAATAATGTATAAAAAGTTCAGGATTTCCATTGCGAGGACAGAATGATGTACCGTTTCGTTTTAAAATACATTTTTATAAAATCTGTTATAAAATACATGTATATCATAACCCTGCTTATTATTGTATTAAGTGTTTTTATTAAAAACCTACCTCGTATGATCATGGTTTGAGTTTACACCGGTCGACCAGTCAATCCCCCAAACAGCAACCGACAATTAATCGCAGTGATATATCTCACCTTTCGTTTCACATTCGCATTTGACTCTAAATGACAACTCGTAATGGGCACTGGTATTTTGAATTCTTACGCCATTTTATGCAAATCGCTTATTGTGCAACGATTAAAATGCTTTGATAGTACATTAAGTTTGTTGTACTTAAATTCCAAGTTGGTTATAATTACTGCATATTCAGGATATAAACTTGAACCAACTGCTGACCTGTGGACGTAATACGCAGTATTACAAATTACAATGATCGGTCAACTGGTCAAGTAGGAGTCTGTTTGATGAGTAAACTCAGGCTTGCGGTTTGTTAACATACACTGTTACGCATCTCTTCAGATTGAAATTGACACAATAGCCCACAAGATAGAAAAGCACATTTCAATATTGTATGATTTATGTATAAGGAGCTCCTCCCTTTATCTTTCCGGATTCACTCAACCTAGAAATGTATTAAAATGTACAAATATCTGCCTTAAGGCATAATTTAATGTAATTTGGGAGATGGTATTTTCAATATGTAAGCTTATTTAGTGACAGATTCAATGGTTTTATCAGTTGACTTCATGCACATGCATTGTAAGCCCCTGAGACCTTTACATTAAAACCTTGTGTATATACCACGATAAGATCATTCATATGTCAGGGTAAAAAAGATAATTTAGTCAAGAGTCATCCTTCTCGGATGAATACCTCAACAAGTCAATAAAGGATGATAAAAAGTGTAGGCCTAAAATATTTTAAGGGTCACGATAAGTGGGCCATTTGGGCTAATAATGGCCTGCTTTGTCATTAATCGGCCTCTTAATTTTCAAGCAACTAAACATTTGGAGTATAGGGGTCTAGACTTTTTCGTACGATTTTTATCAAAGTAGAGCAAACCCCATCACATTGCCAAAAGCTGGCTTCCCCCTCAATAAACTCGTGTTTTCGTGCCTGTGTCCAATACTCTTTTATACAAAAACATTATTTTATAAACAGCTGGAAACTTTATATCATTACTCACAATATTATTCGTCAGTCCAATGTTGATTGGCAGTGGTACAGCATATAGAAAATAGTTAAATAACAATGGCAAGAATATTGTAACGATGATCTCAAAACTAAAAATAAACTACATATTATAGAGGACTTAAAATATTAGGTATACGCAATAGTTAAACCGTACATGGTGTTGCAATGCGTAAATGTATCTTTTGTTATGAAATCTACCTGAATAAACTTGTCATTCTAACCCATTAAAATCAAACAGAATATCCCAATGAGCAAACAAGATACACACGCGGTCCTAACTTCGACCGTTAATTTGAATTTTTGACCTACCGGATGTTTGAAAATCAAGGATTACGAGTCTCATACTGCACCGTTTTCTTCAAACTTGTTCCATTCAAAGCATAACACAAATCCCTTTCTGATGGTACATTATTCTCTTCAACAGAGTCCCTACTTCCAGCGGCATTTTGGTCCCCAGTTGTAACAAGGCCTTCTAACAGCTGGGGACCAAAAACGCTGCTAGAACGAGGGACTCTTTACAATAAAGTAATGCACCGACAGAAAGGCAATTTTGTTCTGCTTTTAATGGTAAAGGTTTGAAGAAAAACGGTGCAGTATGAGACTCGCAATCCTTGATTTTCAAATTAACGGTCGAAGATAGACCGCGTGATACAGTCACGACAAAAACTGAGCAACTTATATACGAGTACATGTTTTATCTTGTGGATTAAAGTGGTGAGGTCAATTGAAATTAATAGAGAAGCGCATTGGCACAATATACACTTCTACAGGTTTAAATCAGACATCAAGGAAAGGGTTCCAGATCGGTTCACATGTAACATTCACAAGTGCTCAGAACAGGGGGTACTGCATGATTTTGAAAGGATGTATGACCGAAGCTACGGGCCTGATATCTCAATTCGATCCAGCCAATTTATTTCCGATAAAATCAGATAACACAACAGGCAAATATTCTAACTTGTCAAAGGCTATTCTTTCATCATGTTTGGAGATAGAAATATGACTGATGAATATTTTTTATTGGAGTTCACAGTTACCTCTTAAATGAAGTTATTAAACATTGTTAAATCAACTAAACATGCCAACACTCTCAAAATTTGAACCAGACTTATAATATAGTGAGCATTATATACCTGAGACCTGATTCATCGTTTCAAAGTGGTAAAATGCTACCGTATACGCAAGGGAGGAGACCATATTTACTCGATTGGGAATCACGAGAACATACAAAGAAAACGTTTAGAAGGAAACGCGAAACTTAAAGGTACGATTTAAGTATATTATGATGTCGAAATTGATCAAATAAGACACACCATAAACACATTAAGGATACCTTATGCTATGCATGTACGTTTGGGACTGATACATAATGTATATTTTTGTTTTCTAGCCACGTATGTGATCCAGTACAGCGATACGCTTGTCCATAAAGAGTGTATTTTGAAGCACGTTGGCAAGTTATTTGAAGAGTTATACAAGAAGCAAGTTCGTTGTTTTGCTAACAATATGACGAATTGATTCTGGTGGAAGATATACTTGTAAGTTAAACTTATTTAAATAGTTGCACATATCTTTAAGAATAATATTATTGTGATATTCCCATTCTAACTTGAGCTAAAAATAAGAAGGCGTATTCCTAATTCACACGTATGGCATCTGGGAATACATCATACAATAATAATTTAAAGATGAATGGGTACCTCAGTGGAATTGAATAATTATAAAACCGTTCACGCGTGTATCTCCTTCACATGTGCCTAAAGTTGCTTCTTCAGAAAATATAGCTTACAAGGGTCGATCCAAAAGTTTTGCATCGTGTGCTCTAAAAATCTTAATACTTTATGAGTATTTTTCATATCTTATCTCATCCACCCCATATGTAGTAGTTTCATTCTGCGTTAAATAAGCAATACATTTGATCAGTAACATATTAGTTTTCTGAAAATGAAATAGCGCTTCAGTTGCTGAAATTACCAATACGGTTTAATTCATTCAAGCTCCACATACCCTGTTGTTGTATTGCTAATGGTAACTAGATGCATATTATGTTGAATTTTGAATTCATGGTTTATCACACAAAATGAAGCTACACTGTAGGGGGCGATTAAGGCAATGTGTTAAAATGTGTATATTATTCGTCAAAGAAAAAGATTTTAGAGCAAACGGTGGAGACCTTTTGGATCAATCCTCGTACACCAATTTTTGAATTTGAACCTGATGTGATATGTCATAAGTACAAGCGGATAACATAAGCAATTTGCATTGATACATCTGAGACAGTCACGAGGTGGTGTTAATTTCACAGTTTGAAATGCTATATCTTGTAATCCCACTCCATATGTTAATAGGATTTTAAAGACCCAGATAAAGCCACTTGTTGTAGTCGTACACAATGATATCAATATTTGATATGGAAAACTTCTTTTGAAGGGACTTTTTGTTCGAAACATTCTCAACTAATTTCGAATGATTTTGTTGTCAGTTGTCAAACACATTAAATAAGCAGTGATAATATAAATCCCATCGATTGCAAGCATATATATACACATGTATACTGATCTATTTTATGTTGGAAAATTATAACAATTGTTTGGGGAACGAAAGAGAAATGAACTCACAAACGCAGGAAAGTGGTTCAGAAAAAGAGACACATACATTTAAAAATCAACATTACAATCAGCGACGGCTTTGCGAATGATGTTGACCCTTGAATTGCCAAACGATTTTGAATTTAAATATATTTTTTGACACAAAAGGATGAAACTAAAGATTGACACTATTAGAAAAAATGAAACCAGTAAAATAATAGTAAAATAGAATGGTAGATTAGTGAAATTGTCATTTTAAAGTATATCATCTAATTTGTCATGTTTTGTTAATATTTCGTATGTACAGTTTTCATAGTAGATAAATATAAAGCTTTCTCATGGAGAAAATGTTCCATGATTAAAATGAATACTTCAATTCAGAAATTATAAATTTATTGTGTTAAATCAATCCTCAAGTGTGGTAATGTTCCAAATATTACACAGTATGTAGATTGTATGATTAACAAGTTCAATGGTGTCATCACATGCGATATACTTATTTATAGATTTGTCTTAAGAGTCAGCCCTTACAAATACATTTAACATTAATAATCAAATTATGGTGAAAAGAAAAAGGAAATAAAAGAATCAAAATAATTTCAACAAAATAATTTCATTGTAGGATGAACCTCAAATGCAATATATGATTTAATAAATGAATGTTGTGGTTGATTCAGAACTCCTTCAACATTTATCAAGAAGGGAAAATTCATTCATATTAGATGCATATCTTTCATATGACCACACATGTTTTGAACGCTTGGTATCATCTCCAGAACTAAATACCGTATCGAATACTACCTACTCTATATGGTATAACCAAGTATGAGAGTACGAGACCACATTTTAGGACTTTCATCAAAATACAAAATACAAAAACTAAGCCTATATCATTTGATTGAGAATTTATCTTTTGATAAAAAAGCAAAATTAATGTGTCGCACACGCAAGCAGTGAGTTATGTTCAAACATGGGCTTTTAATTAGTTGAAAGCCCATGGTTCAAACAAATGCAAAAGTATTAACATCAATCATGTATTTAAAGAATTTTTAAGACCAAGCTTGATACTTTATGGATGGGCTAATGGAACCATCTTGGTATCAAATGATGCTCGATTGAAAGAAACTTATTCGCTTTTCCTACCCCAATCGAATGATTTTTGATTTAGAGAATGCCATTCGCTTTGTCCACCTTTTAATAATGACTGAATGATGAACCTGACCTTATTTGCCTACCTTAATGGCATTGGTGATTGTTTAGCTCTGTAATTCTACTAGAGAAGAATTGACTTTGCTTCCAGGCAGAAAAGAGATAAAAAGAGATGGAGTCATTGCAGCCTCATTCGCCACTTGAGTAGACCAACCGTTGCGTAATATAGACAGGTAAACAGGGCCGACAATATTTATCTGTGTGAATAATTAAGTGAACTATTGTATTGCCCTATTCCATGACATTCCAAGAATTGGCAAGAGACTCGAGTAACCACTGGATTTATCCTACAAGTCTTGTACTTCATACCTGATACCTATTGTGTGCTGTAAACAACAGGCAGAGTCATTTAAAACTCAGATCTCTTTCTAACAAGAGGGCTGCCATCAATTATGTAAAGATATATGCGGAGGGTGCGTGGTTATATAATTCATTCGAACATGACTGTATTCACGCCTTCTATAAACTGTAAACAAAGTCAACATTTCACCCGGGGTATATTCGCGAACAAAATCCCTGGTAATACGTGCAATGTGTGACGTCATAACGGCAGGACGTAGTAATGGCGGTTCATAATGACTATTAAAGATTACTGATAGACAGTAACTCTGGCATAGCCGAAAAGAGCACACATTCCAACGTCCATATTGCTCACCAGGAGCCGTCACCGTGAACAAAAACATTGTGAGGAAAATTATGAAGTAAACATGTTGCATACGTTCTTGTGCATGTGTGGTTGATACCACATTTTATCATATATTTAAATGAATAAGTGAATTAAAATCTACTACACCCGCATAGAAATTTCTATACAGGATTTTTATATCTATACATGCATTTTTTGACCATATAGAACTTTCTATATTGGCCATCAAGCAAAATTATTTTTCTGCGCCGCATAGAAATTTCTATACAGCATTTTTATTTATCGATCTTTTCCCTATAGAAATTTCTATACCGGCAACCAAAATTTATATTTACAACTGCATAGAAATTTCTATACGAACACTTGCTTTAATTAGAAAGGCATAGAAATTTCTATACAGGGAGAAATGTTTTTCTGGTAACAGAATTAGTATTTTCCGACGGCCTTCACATAGAAATTTCTATAGAGGTATTCAGTTTTAAATCTTCTGCTTAATCGGTAGAGAAATTTCTATACCGATAACCAAATGTTCATCAATAACAAAATTAATATTTCCAGCCCCATCCGCATAGAAATTTCTATACGAAAAGTCAACGGAGTCTTTTGTCAGTTTGTTTAGAAATTTCTATCTGAGGATAGTGTATTTGAAAATATAGTTTGAAGTTACATAGAAAATTCTATACGATAAGAAGAAACACAATTTTACTAGACATTAACATGAATATGTATTGATAAAATGATTTTACCTTTATCTGGTTTGATGAAATATTCATATACTTTGTATAAATATTGTAAATCTAATATGATAATAAAACATTGACGGTTGAAATACATGAAATGCACTGCTGTTTTTACGTTTTTGGGTTTACAAAAAGGGACTAAACGGTTCATTCTCTTTTTAAATGGTCACGACTTCCTGTATTTTATTGCGTTAAGGTTAATGTTCAGAACTTCTGTATTGAATGAGTAGATGTGAATAAATCACAAAATGGTGTTTTGGTCTTACATTTTTGTAAAAATATGTATTCACTAAACTTACATTGATTAACTTCAATGAACAATTACAATGACGTTAAGAAATATGAAATAGAACTGACATTGTAGCTGCTAACACTTGTTTTTAATATAAATCGAAGATAACACATAGTAAAGGTTTATTCCTCAGAAATATAAGTGTAAATCCAAGAAGTTGATCCGTTGTAAATGGTATAGCAGGTCCTCAGAATCCGAGTTTCGCCCAGTTTTCCTTGGTAAATTGACAAGGTAAGTAAATTCTTGTTTAATTCATAGTTTCAAACATTTTCCATTCCTTGTATTTGACTTAGGATGGTGTTTTAAGCATTAAGATCGCCAATCATCCATTAGGGTCATTAAGCAATTGTTAATATTGAGTTGAAGTTGTAAATGGTCTAAAATTTCAGATGATACAATTTCACATTTGTCTTGGATCGGGATTCCTGAGAAAATTCCTCACTTATATCATAACTCATACATTGAATTTGGAGTTTTTTTTGTATTGACCTACTTTCCGGACACCATGTCTCAAAATTGGTAAGAGGAATAAAAAACGATGGCACATTCTCGAGCCTAATATGTATTACGTGCAGTTTAACACATAAATCCTCTATATCATTGTTATATATCATAAATATAACCTCAAATATGACATAGACCACGTAGCTCCTGTTACGCGGAATATGGCATACAATCATGGTTGCGCGGTATTTGTGATACGGGTGAATATGCCATACTCACCTGCGGTATATGGCATATTCCGCAGGTGAGTATGCGATATTCTGCAGTGAATATGCGATACATTGATTTCAGTGAATACCAGATACTCACCTGCAGAATATGTCATACTCACTTGCGGAATATGCCATATACAGCAGGTGAATATGACATATTCCACAGGTGAAAACGTGATAACGAAAGACTTTGTTTGATTGGTTGCGAAAATCGACTCTAAATGTAAAACTACGCTGGATGACCAATATTGTTAGTACGTCGAGTATTAATATATGAATCCCGGATTGATTGGGTAAGTTTATTACGTGAGATAATACGTCTGCATACGTTGATATATTCGATAAACTGTACTGCTGATTCAGTAATCATTATAATAATTAATGAAGTTTTACTTGTTCGTTTAATCGATGCAATTGACAATTGCGTACCTCCGTATCACGCTCTCATTGGTAAGCGTGTATGCCATATACCGCAGGTGAATCTGTCATACACTGCAAGTGAATATGCCATATTCGTTACTGAATATGGCATATTTTTGTATCGTGTTTACCGCGTAACAGCTCCGAGATCAACAAGGGGGATATTTTTGCCGCGTATTATTACAATTCTCGCATCAGAAGGTGAAACAATCGAAAGGTAAGTTTGAAATATTACGGAGGGTTGGAAAACTCAACGATATAGAAGATTAATTTTTTAAGAGAAATAGTTAACCATTAATTGAACTATTCAGACTGAATTCAGACAAATTGATATCATATTTAAAATCTTTAGCGTCATAACTGCTTCATTATTCGTTAGTTAGTAATGTTCCTTATACGCATATTTATGTAACATTTACTAATAGAATGCCTACATTAAAAAATAAAAAAATATATATGATGTAGCAAATGGACAAGTACATAACACAAACTAAACTAAAACCTAAGTTAATTACCAAATTAAAACGAGAAAAGCAGTAAAATAAAAATAACTCTCAAATTAAGATCCAAATGGAGGGAGGGTGGGAGAAAAAGCTAACAAGTATTACTGCCTAATGCTACATGTGAGCTGCTAAGAGACTGACTGACTGCTAGACTGGAGTGACCATGTGACCTGATGAATATCTCGCATAACCATCAGTACAAGCATAAGTAAATACCAACTCAGATGTCCATATAATTTAAATGAAGACATATCTTTAGTATTTGGAGTTGTAGAAATGTATTGCATCATTAAAACATATCATTACATAGTATTACATAACATTACATGACACAACATCACATAACATTACATAACCCTACATAATTAATTAACCTGAAACAGCACCTTCCAAGAAACTCTAAACAGCGAAAACTTGAAGACAAGTCAGAGATGAGCGTGATGAGCGTGAAACACCGATTGATATTGAGTTGTAAAGAGATGTCGGTAAGGGCAGATAATCCAAGGAAACCTTTCCAAAATGCCTTAAAAAGGTTTTATGAGGATTATTAAATGCTATGCCCCTATTTGCAGTGTATTTAAGGTCATATCTGGGAAGAATTGCTGCTGTTAACATGACCAAGGGAGACACGGCGACTATTAATTTTGTGTAAAACTAAACTTTAATTTTGGTAAAACACTACATTTGAAATGTGTGTAACTTTTTCCCGTTTGTGAGTTGAACCATGATACTTGGCAAATCAATGTATCTTTAGATGAGCTTTAAATTGATATATGATACATACTATGGAAACATTGGTGTATGTCTGGGGGGTCATACTTTCGGGACACCCTCTACTTATCTACTCTACAAGTATATGAGTAATCATTCCAGCAAGTTTAATAAAAGATCAGGTTGTAAATGAAGTAATTTGAAATATTTGATAGGCAATTTCAACAATTAAAACAAAAGTAATGGCTCCAATGATCATACATATAAATGGTTCGTTGTAGTAATAATGGCTCGGATTCGAGGCGGTGTCATTTTCTTCTCAGCCTGGGGTGTACTTGAGACTCTTATTTTCGGAGGGATGATGTTTGGTTGGCCTTCTCTAGTGTTCGTCCTTAAGGAAGAACGTTATTTCAGTCATCTGTGTGAATGCAAGACAAACTGCACGACAAGTGCCTCATCAACAGCTGGTCCAACATCATGTGCGGCGCAGGATGAACAGTTTAACTTGGTATTTGCGATAGCCGGAGCAGTCGTTGGATTTTTACTCGTTTTGAGTGGAACGATATATGACAAGTTTGGTACATTAACTACAAGGTTAATTGGAAGGTAATAGAGCTTATAGGTTGTTCAATCTATCCATACAAAAGCAAATATTATTTGCTAAACACGAGCTTCTGTAACAAAAAGAACGATTGATAAATATCAAGACAACGATTAGAAATAATTGCCATATTAACAGAAAACCAGGGGACCCGGGATAAATAAAAAAAAGTTGAAAGAATCTGGTAATCCTCAAAATACTACTACGATCACAAATGCATATTGTTTGTCATTTTATTTTCAGTGTTATATTTTTGTCTGGATCTCTGACGATAGCATTCTCCACGCCAGGTACGTGCAACAGACATAGTGATACAAAATTACCATTGTCGAAACTCGTTTCGTTCGTTGCGTACCTTCACTACCTCTCTCTCTCTTAAATTCCCAGGGCACGATCTAACCCTACTATCACACCAAACTAGTTCTCACTACGTTCTCGAAAACGGGCTTCAACTGTGTACGAACGGACTGGACCTACTAAGAACCGTTTGGGATCTATTTACAAACTTCATCGAACGTACTCGAACGGGTAGGTCCTCTAGAACTTAGACAATGCTCAAAATGTTCTCGTGGTCGTCACGTTCTACAATTAGAACGAGTGACAACGTACTAACAACGAGCTGGACGAACTACGAACGGAACCGTCGTACTTCAATCCTACTAGGGACGTTTTAACAACGAATTGAACTGTCTGAGGACGTGTTGAGAACGAGGTAGAACTAATTGCAAACGGGTTTAAACTGATTAAGAACGTATTTAACACTGCTTATGAACGAGTTAGCAAAAAATATAGCTATCACACCAAACAAGTTGCCACTGCGTTCTTCAAAACTGGTTTTAAACTGTGTGCGAACGGAATGAACGTAGCTGCAACTTTCTAAGGTCTATTTACGAACT